CCTATGCTGATATTTCATTTGTTATATGAAAAGTATTTCAAGTACAAAAGAATGAGTTTTCAGAATTGTTATGAAACTCTTATAAAATGGGTACAGAATTTATTACATAATGTCTCACAGTGCATTTAGTGAAAATGAAACTTTTAATGTCATCTTTTCAAAATATACAAGAAGCTGCCATTAGTTTTAATTAATAAGCTTGCTCACTCTCTCAGCAAACATCCGATGGGTATGAGTAAAGGCCCTCATCATTTTATGTGGAAAGTTACTATTCTTGCCCGGAAGAGGTAACATTTGAAACTCAAATACCTGGCCTATCATATATCGGAATCTTTCTCTTTGCTCTCCGAACATCATGGGAGAAAAAGGCAAACATTAATTCTCAGGAAGAGACGATCTGGGAATTGATCGCACAGCTATCTTTTCTTTCTGGGGGCACCATTCATCACTTGACTATGATACTTAAAGGGCCAAAGTTTAAAACTACTCCTCAGCAATGGAGACCATTTGGGGCATGCCACCCTGCCATAATCAATGAGTGTTTCAAATGCTCCCCATTTGTTGTTTCAATAGGTTCCAAACAAAAACCCGTTCTATCTTGTTTGTGCTGCATGGCTGCGTGCAGGCTCTGCACCGGATTTGTAGCTAAGCTAGGTAAGGGGAGGGGTTTTAATCTCTATCTTTTTTTTTTTTTAAGGGCTGAGAGTTTTCATTCAAGTAAACAAAAGATGGGCTATATTTGAAAATTAACAATGCTTAGACTAGACTGGAAGGAGTGATTTCTTATTTTATCGAGTTACCAGCTCCATCAGAGGCCACATGAAAGTGTACCATGCCACCACGTTGAGTTATGATAATCAACATCTTTTTCTTTTTTTTTTTGAAACAAAGACATGTTTTTTTCCCTCCCTCAATGCAGAATTTGATACAAGAGGTAATCTGTTCCTTTGTGGGCTGAAAACAAAATCTGGTTTACGCTGGTTTGAACCAGTGGAATCTCTTGTGGGTAAGCCTTCTGCTGCCTGCGACTGAAATCAAACCTGCGCTGCGGAGCATGTGCGGCCCATGCGCGCCTCCGAGTGGGCGCCGCGCCACGTGACCCCGCAACTCCCCAATTTTTTTTTAAAAAGCTGATAACGCGACTGGCGTCTCTGTCCGCATACAGATAACGAATAAATGCTGAACTCTATTAAACGCCCTTTACACATTATCGTGGGTCGAACACACAATTTTCTGAACTTATGATGACAGTCTATTTATTTGGCTATAAACCCTCAGCACGTAACGAACAGATTTGTGCCTGGTAATGATCTGCTCTGCCAGGGCTATATGAAATGATACCGACCTCCTTTAGATCTCGGGGAATTAAATTGACCGACTTCACCCCCTGCTCTGGGGCTGGAGTTTGACACACTTTATGCACAGCAAGCTCAAATCGGAACTTACGAGAACCTCGTATTAAAAAATTAAGCAATCCTATCTACTAACTATTGCTTTACCACCCAACTTCTGGCACGTTTGCAAATATCCTACTCTTTATAGATCTTTCTTTGAACCTTCTATTTAGGATTTACTCACATTTCATTTACTCAGGCTTATTCATTGATCGGTATAATTTTGCATAAGGAAACTGAGAGACTATTAGGGTTCAAAGTATTGCTTGGAACATTTTATTTGCTCGGAACAATTTATATGCTCCATTACGACACTTTACTATGAAGAGGATTTAATTGTATAAGATGGTTTTTGTTTCTCTGTGTATGTTTTTTCCTTTTCTGAGAATGGTTTTTATTAAACTAAATCAAGATAACTATTAAGGTTTCCACGCTAAATACAACATTGTTGTATTTAAAAACTCAATTCTCTCAAGTTCTAAAATGTGGCTGTATGGGAAACATGACATTTTAAAAGAATAGAATGATAATGTTTAAGACAGCAATCCTTGGAAAGCTGATGACCCAACAATAGTACTCAAATGTGCAAAGTAGGTAATTTTGTCCCATCTTTGTAAATCAGGGATGAACTATATTTGGATATATAAGAAATGGATAGAATCAGAAATAAATTTATACAAAACAATTAATTTGGAATTAAATGAAATTGTGTACTGTATGCAGGGCATTTCTAATCATGGTGTATATATATATATATATATATATATGGAAATTAATATACTCTATAGTTAATTGGAAGACTATATTTATGTGTATAAACAGCCAGGTTTTAAATGCCTAAGGAAAAAAAACCATTATAAATGGCCAGAATGATAAATAATAGCTATGGCATTCACATTTTTGTAAATCACCACCAAAAAGTCACAATAGGGATGATATGTATACTGCATAAAAAATAACTAAACAGTCAGTACTTAGATTATTTTACCTATTTTAACCATTGCTATGAATTCTTTATTATTTCTCATCGATAATTAAAAAATTGAGATATATTCCAATTTCAATGAAACAAATATTGCTATTTTTGTCTCATTTTGTTTACTTCCAAGTTTTCTCTGTACATTGAAAGTTTATGATAAGCCAATAAGTTCTGAAAAAAGGAATGTTTCAAAAATTAACTGGAATATAAACTTATTTGTGGGCAGAAAATATTTTCTTATATAAGTGACAGATAAGCCCAGAAAAGACTACCTTCTCTGCCACTCAGCTACAAACACTAACATGAAGAGCCAACTTAAAATCCTTTCTTCCTGTAAGGAAAAGGCTTCTGTTTTAATTCCATCGTCTGAATGAATACAGATGCAGAATAAAGAGTTATTCTCAAGTGAGCATTCCTGTTAGGGATGTTTTAGTTGGAGGTATTTTAATTCCTGTATTATGATAAAAGAACCTAAAACAAAATTTAATTTCTTCAGTATGATATGGAAATTTTTCTATACCTGGTAACTAAATATCCAAAAAGTTAAGTGTGGTCTCTTTGAACTTTCAAACCTAATTCAAATTTTAGACGGAAAAGTTCACATAAGTAATAATCTAACCGTTACATACCCATGACTATCATTTATCATACTCTATTTATGGAAGTGACAGGTCCTTATGACTAAACTTCAGGTTCTCTGAGCACTTTCAGAATGTGTAAGTTTGATTTATACAAGTCCATGGGAAAATCTCTGTGTAATCATTTTAAAGTGACAGGAATATAATTTGCAAAATTCAGAAAATATGAACTCAATCTATTTTTGTGGAATATTTTTCTTTAGGCATAAAAAATCATACCCATATGCACGTAAGACAAATGTTTTAGGCACATAAAATGTCCATTAAGAGAAGTGAACATGCCTTTTAAAAAAAAGAGAGGGATTCCTGTCATATACTACAACATCCATTACAAGAAAGGAGTCTGAGTTAGACAGGGTACCCCTTCCTTTCCATTTCCTCTCTATTAGGCAGTAGTTTCAAATGAGAGGAAGATCTATAGCTTTTTAAAGAACTGACATGAGAACTACGCATTCACTTTTTTTGTAAAAAAAAGATAATGCTTTCTCTGCAGTAAAGATAGGAAATAAAATTATGATTCACTCAATCAAGAGGTATGAGCAACCTAAATCTCACTTAAAATAGGAAGAAAATATTTCTTTCTCATTCTTACATTATTTAATCTATTATGAGCAAAACCCTTTATCACATCACCCTTTTTGTTTGATGTGCTCTGTATAATTTTCCCCCTTAGTTATTCTTACATTTCAATCAGGAAAGCTGAAATCCCCAGTCAAATATTAAAATGTTTACATGTCTGAACTCAAGCTGATAACATCCAAATAGGGGAGGGGGTGAGGTCTTTCCAAAAACAAACCATCAGCTCAGTGATCCTTCTTTCTTTTTTTGGGGTGGATGGATGGGGGCCTTAATCACATAAGCAACACCCCTGTTTATAGTATTAACATTACAGTAAATAGTAACATAGTTTCAGCACATGTAGAGCTATAATTTATGTGAAATGGTAAATACAATTATGCAATTTTACAATGTGTATCAATATATTATTTATGTTTTACAATCTTATTAAAATTTTGGTTTACTCAATGAATGATTTATGTTCATTTTTATTTAGGCAGAGCAGAGACCTTTATAACACTTGCCAAAGTAACGTTAATAAACACGCTCAGTTCTTGCTTCTGAAGTTCCCTGTCATTTATTTTCTTTAAAAGTGTCAAAGACAATCAGTCACTAGGTTTGTTTGAGACATTTAAAAAAATCAATCTCAGCACTGAGGTTCTTGAAACGCTTTTTAAAAGTCATACGTTATCTATATGAATTAATGAAACCTGCAGTATTAATTCAGAGAAAGAAGTGGGACATTAATTGGACTCAGGACACTACTGTGTAACCCTATGAGAATTGACAGCCAAGTTACAGGCCCTTTTAAGAAGAAATTGTACCTTACTTTTTGCTTGTGCAGATCTTAAATTGCAAAACGACTTTCCCCATTATTATTACTATTACTTTTATTATTTCACAGAGGCCACTACCTCTATATGCGTATCCAAGTTTCACACTGGTACTTACAATTTGCATTTTACTGAATGTATTTTTAAGAAGCGACACAATGGGAGACTGGGCTGCCCTGTTGAATTTTGAAAGCTTACTTTCATTTGTTTTGCTGCAAGTGTTGATTTAATTATACTGCATTATTATCAAAGCTGCATTGTGTACTTTTTTATTCCTTTTACATGTGTTTGAGGTGAAGACCTTGGCTTTGTCTGCAAACAGTGTGTTTCAAGTTATTCCTTAAGTACTAAATAATAAAGAAAGGAGAAGAAAAGATTTTTTTAAAAGATAGCAGACAGTGATCCCAAGGTAAAGGGTTAAATGTAAGATCTCCAAGAAACATTTTGAAGTTGATTAAGACTCCAGCTTTGCATTAAACAGTATCACTTCCACATGAGTTGCCGCTAATGCTGTTAAGGAGCAGCTTGAGAGCCCAGTGTGCCAGTGACCTCCTTCACCCTCCAGCCACCCACCGGGCCTTGCTGATTAGCATTCTACCTGGCTCTCCGAGGAATTCCCGTCATCCCCTAGGAGCTCATTGCGCACTTCGTCACTGTAGGCGATCCGTGACCTTTTCTGTAAAACAAAACAAAAAGGGAGAGAGCGAGAGGAACGTTAGAAAGTAAAGGCTTCGAAGCATTATTGCTATCAAGGCTGATCATCTCAAACCTCGAGAGCCCCCTAATGGAAACCTATTTGCTAAAACCTGCAAACCAAAGTTGTGTAAAGTTCTTGAACTTGAGAAGTTTAATGTAAATTAGAAGGTTTTCAAATGCCAATAATGAAAGAAAACTGCACTGTGTAAGTACTCCATTAATAATCAAAATGGATCGGAACTGGTATGTTATTCCACACACAGTCATTCAAATAAGAACACCAAGCTGAAGGAAATACAGCTACATAGCTGTGTATCTGCAAAACGCACCAGGCTGCAATTAAAACGAGAGTATATAGGGTTCTTTAATAGTGTGGCAGAAAATGGATTTTACAAGTCTTTTAAAATCTCTAATTCTAGGATAATATTATAACTGCATACATACACTGGAATGCTTGGGAAATTGTACATCTATTATTTCATTATTGTGATGTTACTAACTAAAAAGAGATGAAATTTAAAAGTCCAACCCATTTTGGGACAATAATTTAAATGTCTCTAAGTCCTCTATAAGTAACTAAGGAAAAGTATGGGAGTGTGTGTGTGTGTGTGTGTGTGTGTGTGTGTGTGTTAAAACGAATTAAATTTCCCAATCCTTGTAAATAAAAGCAAGTAGGCTGTGAGTCAACTTTTCCCAGTCCCAGTAAATAAAGACAAGTAGGCCACGAGTCAAGGTTTCACACACAGAAATTCTGTTTTACAAGAAGTCTACCTTTACCTGTAAAGTCAGAGGGACATGTCTGCAAGCAACTTCTAATTACACACATTTGGAAAAGCTAAAGGCTCGGAAGATTAGTTGGGAAGCTGGAGTGCAGTGCTTAGATGCTGCTGCGCATCGCTACTTCAGGCCCAGATGCAGATTTACGGGTGACTTGGCTGCCTTTTCTGCTTCTGAACTAACTGAGCAAACACAGTTGATTGGAAAACGGCAGTTGGAAAATGGCAATCTTTTTCTCACTTCGGGTCTACAGTGGAGAACTTAAAGTTTCTCACCTGTCCAATTGTGATCCAAAAAGTTATTGCAGTTTGAAAGGACACTCCATAGTCCGTGAGCAGAAGTCCACAAGATTTTTAATTAGACTTCTAAACTAGGGAGTAACCCTGCTTTTGCCACATAGCGATCATAATATCTTAAACATAAACTCATAGTAGAACTTAAAAGGATATTTGACAAGAAAAACCAGTAGACTTTAAATCACTTTAAAGTTGCAGCCTTTCTCAATTGTGGTTGTTATCTGAACCATAAAACACAGAAAATTATTTCAGTGACTATTTTTCTGACTTCTCCCAAAAATGATACGTAAGAGAGAATTAAATTTATTACATAGAACAGAAGCCTTAGGGCATTAGGGCTTAACTCTCTGGCAGAACCCAGATGAAGGGCTGAATGGAGTATAAATAAAAAAATAAATAAATCTAGATACTCCTTTATTATTTGTGGCGGGGGGGGGGGGGGGGGGAGGCGAAGCCAGTCTCATGGTGTTCTAAAGGTAGCTTTGGTTAAACTGAAACTAGAACCTTGGGGTCCTGACTTACAGCTCGGTGCTCATTCTATCACACAAAATTTCCTCACCAGTTTATTGCCCTCTGGATACACTCAGGTAAAAGATGCAAAGAAAATGCAAAATGTTTCGATACAAAGTAGATGATGGCATCCCATCCCTGCCCTGAGTCTCTACCCCAAGCTTGCCTTCCCTGCTACAAATGTCTAACTTATACCCTGGCAAATGCAGTCAGTCTGTAGGTAGAGAACTACAACCAATGATGCTGCAGAGAGGACGAGGGAGAAAAGTCAAGTCATTAGCCCTAGGTCAGTAATGGCATCTATATCAGACATCTCAACAATTCAGGAGTGACCCCCTCATTCACTTGTGAACATGCCAGACTTCTTACCACCACAGACAGCATATTCATGGACCCTGCTTCCTATACTGTATTTACGGAAGCTGCTATTAATTAGCTATTTCTATTAACTTCATACAGAATTGTACAGAAAAATGTAAGTTACAAGGACAGTATCCTAGTACTTCATGGCCTTACCACGGTAATTAGATCAAGCCGAACCTTTCTTTTGCCCATATGGAGATCCCCACTATGGTCGTTTCAAACTAGCTAAGCCAAAGTATTTTACAGCATTAAAGGAAATGAGAACCTTTAAACAGGCTGTGGTATCAGAGCTGCCTCTTTAATTATTCATTTCATCACTATGGGGGACTAAAACGTTCCCCAGTATGCAAGAATTTCACATGGAGATTGTTTTTGTTTTTCCCCTTTCTCACCCAAATACCAACAAATTGGCATAGATTGTTCAATTACATTATATTCTTATTTTGATTTACTATACTTCAAACGTGGAACATTACAAGCATGGATCCCTAAATATCTCATCTTGTTTTGGTTAGAATCCATTGCTTTTGAAAAGCAGCCATTAAGAGTGTACATGCTCAGCACCAAGGGGAGAGGAAGGATTTATCCACAGTTGAAGGGTGGTCCCCCTATAGATGCCATTCTTCACCACTGGGATGGTAGACACTGGTCATTTGGATGGCTTTCTGGATGTAATTAAGCAAATGATACGCTGAGTTTACAAAATGTTCCCTGACAGGACTGGCTTTCACTCGAGAATGAAAAGGTAACTCATTTCAAATGTCAGAAATAGTTCCTCATGAAAATGATACAACCAATGCTGGAAACGGAACACTTTACACTTGAGTATCATTTTATACTTTTTTTTAAAAAAATCAAGACCTGGTTTGATTAAGAATTATGGGGGCAGGAACCAGGTAGAGAGAGGCCATGGGGGGAAGAGGGAAAGACATCTGTAATACTCTCAACAATAAAGATAAGAAAATGCCAGTTACTGGTATTTTCTCCTAACTTTTCATGGTTTGAAATTTTAAGTGAGCTGATTGTAATCAACCATAATTTAGTCTGCAGGATCATCATTAAACTAAATGAATACCGAAAGAAAAAAAAAGGTAAAGTCCTCTGGGTGACAAACTGCTTAATTTATGTATATTTTTCCTCAAAAAAAATCAATAAATTATTTCACTTTTATGGAACTTTTAAAAACCGCACTCTACCTTACTAACTACTATGTTATACTTTAATTTGGAAGATTCAAAGTTAATGAAACTGAAACATCTCCCATAGCTTGATAAACTAACTGAAATAATTCTACTTTATTATCAACTGTATAAAATCTGTACTTTAGCCAAATGCAAGCATGAGAATTTGAGCTGGAAATGTCACACACTCAGCTACAGTTTGAAGGAACCCAATTCATAATGCATTTTATAAATAGTTAATGACTTCTATACATAAGCTAACCAGGCAAATCAAGAAATTGTCAACATTTTTAGTCTTAGTTGTCAGTTACTACTGACTACTGGTGCTTTATGTGTGGCTTCTGGAGAAGACAGAAGCTCTGTGCAGTTTGTAATCTACTGCAATTTTGGGGTCTGTACCATAAGGGTGGAAAAGCTGCAGCTGACAATATTTGCCACACACACACACACACACACACACACACACACACTCACACAATGTTAAATACAAGAGCATTCCTCATTTTTAGTTGTGTTTGTGTAACTTATACACTTAGGTGAACTAGACACAATTGGAAGGAAAAATCTACACACCATAGATGAACTACAAAAAAAAAATATGACAAGTTAACAACTGATTGTTATCCTTAAGAAGTTAGATGCACTAAGTTTCATGGGTATTTTAAACTGATGACAAAAGTGAGTCTTTGGCTATGAAAGTGAGAATTTCAGATTCCAAGCAGTTTTCACTTGGTATATGAACAGAACTTTTGCATACTGAGTGGGTAATTTCCTTTAAGCCAAGTTCAAACAGATAGCCTCGCTCAGTTCTATCTGGCAATTTGGCTTATAACAATCTATCTACTTGACCCAAGCCTTAACATTTCCCAACTGAACTGAATATATTCTAGACAGGCACCGCTAAACTAGAAACAAAATGAAAATTAACTTAGCTTACACTAATTAAGAACTGTGATCTGGGACACCGCCTCCTGTGTGAGTCTACATGTGAAACAGGGTATACATAACCAGAAGGAGGATTCTATGGCCCACCACTAGCATAAGCATAACAATGAAGTTGGGTTATTACCAAAGCGTATATGAGAATTTAATTTCCAAGGAGTGCACATGGCAAAGCAATTGCTTAAATTGCCTCACCTGGGAATTTAATACAATGTTATCATCAGACCAGCCACATTGTAAATAGATTTATAATGCTTTCCATGTGCTGCACTCTGTTGCATATGAATTAAGTAATGATCTGGTATTACAATAAAATCGGCTAGTTCCCACACCTGGCAGACAGGATATTTCACTAAATTAATACCCATACAGCTACATCACAAGGCATGGGAGCGGAAACCATCTCCAAGGCATTCGGCCTGAGTTTTCCAGGGGAGGCAAACACTCCATGGTTATGTACAATGTCGCTATGTTGAATGGGCTGCTCAAGACAATCTGTGTCTAACATCTGTATCACAGAATTAAGACTTTCTCATTCCCATTCAGTTTGGGCCTAATTTTCTTCATTCAGTACTTTAATTACTAATCAGCAATCCACAACATTTGCAAACACTAAGAAAGGCCTTTATTCTAATCTATGTGCTGCAGACAGCCAAATAATTGATACAAAGTGCAGTATGGTTTTGGTAAGTAATGAAAGAACAGCTTGTCCTAATTCCTAATCAAATTGGTCTATAGAAGAAATGGTTAATAGATTTCTCCATAGGTCTAAAACAAATTACCCGGTCTGGCCAGACTTTTCCATTGCTTCTACATGTCTTTCAGTCTCCATATATTTAATAATGCTCAAGGTTACCAGGTGATACACCTATTAAAAACTGTTATGCTTTCATAGCCAAAGAATTTAACTG